ATCACACATCATTTATTCGCATCGACATCTAAAAAGTAAATTAACAAAAATAACGAACTCCAAAGAAACCTCAAATCGGAAAGTCCCTTATAAGTTGAACTCAACCCTTCGTAAATTTTACGGACGCCATCACAAGTTGGTTGACCGTTATGGAATAACTGTTTCACAGATGATATCTGATATTTTCCTTATATCGTAACTACAATCCCGTTCCCTTTTCACGAATGTGACCTACCGAATTGGACTATTTACCGGGTTTGCAATAACATGAGCAACACGACGGGTGCCACATGTAGAGCAGGATCTGCTTACCCTTCCAGAGCACCTGAGATCACTCCAAATTTTAGTGGTGTTCGTGTTGCTTAATCTATAGTTTTCTATGTTGTGTCTTGTGTACTATTATTTGTCTGTTTGTCTCTATCTTTTTAAGCCATGGCGTTGTCAGTTTATTTTCGATCTGTGAGTTTGACTGTCCCTCTGGTATTTTTCGCCCCTCTTTTATCAAATGACAAATCAAAAGCAAACATATCAAACGAATGGAAAACAACTGTCATATTCCTGACTTGGTACAGGCATATACATGGGCAAGCAGACGCTTTTGATTGTCAGTTCAAAATTCAGGAAAATGTTAAAAAAAAAAGAAACACTATGTTTATTTTTATGAATTCAGATTAGTAGAACATCAATCAAATCCATATCCGCGCAACATTGATGTGCTCTAAAATATGAAAACCTCCATTGTATGACAGTTCATGTCGTTACAGAAAGAAAAAAAAATCAAATTGTTTCCCAAAATTGATTCATCTTTTATTTTGCCTTAAACAAAGATATAATACTTACAGTAGGTGCTTCTTATTCATGGGATCTGTTTCAAAAGAATAAGAACCATGTGTTTAACAAAAGTAAGAAGAAGATATGCATTAGCCAAGGTATGCTTTGATCATAAGACAACTACTCCAAATTATCATTATCAGAAAATTGACTAAAAACACTATAATATCTTTGGACGATACTTGCTATAACGCCAAAAAACAATTACAAAACGTAAATAGTCACTCTAGCATCTTATGCCGATCCTCAAGGCATTGCTATCCCCTTTTTTAATTTTTATTGAATAAAATTCAAAACAATAGACTTCGCACAATTTACATAATTTCACTCGGCAGAATTAAATCCATGCAACTTTCAAAAATGTAAAGTCAACAAGTTAACATTAATCATTTAACAGTAAAACTGAAAGTAGAATATTAATATTACAACACTCTAAGAATTGTGTGCGTCTGATGCCTTATCTGGGTTTACTTCATAAGGAACACTCTAATCTAAACATATAAAGGTCATGAATACATGTATAAACGTGTAACCGTTATGAACAATTAAACAAAAAGAACATCAAAAGAATATGCAATTTTGTCTAAAGTCATGTTTGTAAGATGTATAAAGGAAGAATATTTTAATAATTTTCAAAAGAATCATATTGTGTCAAAATAAACCCCTCTTGTAACCGGACTATACATCTTTTATCATATTACAATATCAATATTGTGGCAAAAATCTATTGATCTTTTTAACAAGAAAAACGGCTAACTAAACATCGGCGATGATTTTTTGATCTTATAAAGTCATTGATTTAATGTCATTACTTTTTTTTTATAAATCAAATATATATAAGAATAACAACTTATTGTTCACTTCTTTGTTTATCATATACTCATAATGTTATACCTCTCTTTTTGTAGTGTTCTTGATGCAACGCTTTCAACAATGACTAAAAACTGTACCGTATAGTACGTTAAGAAAGGCCCCGAAATGACAAATGTAAGACAATAAAAACGAGAAAGCTAACATCCTTTTTTTATGAATAAAACAATGACCTAAGAACAAATATGATAAATACCAACACACGACAACCATGTTTGACGGTACCAACATTCCTCCTAACCTAGGACAATGGTGCAACGAAACAACACAAGAACAAACTATATGAAACAATAAACGAAAAACAAATATAAGAAAAGCAATTAATAACAACCTCTCAATTAGTGACTCCTGACTTGGCATGGACACATATAGAATGTGCCGGGGCTCAAAATGCATGCTGGTTCTAAGCCCTCATACCAACTTGGGACAGATGTATAGCAGTACGACTAAGAACAAACTAACACAATGTTAAATGCAGTACCCCTATTTTTGTACTATTTTACCTATTATATCTGTTTGTTTTCTTCACACATCATTGTCAATATATTTGAATTGTATGCGACTTTCATACAAATGAGAAGTTCAGCTAGATATATAAGGTTTTATACATAAGGAAATACCTGTACCAAGTCAAGACTATGACAGTTGTTATCTTTTCGTTTCACGTGTTTGAGCGTTTGATTTTGTCATTTGATCAGCGCCGATCGATACAAAGCACATAAAACCCTAATAAAACACAAAAGACGAAAACTGCAGTTCATAGGGTACTCGGAGTAAAATGAAAGCTGGATCAAAGTCAATAACAGCTTATAAAACATCTTATCTCTACGACTTGTATATCAATAGGTCACATCTAACAGCCTATTAATTTAGTGTACAGACGACATTTATAGTTAGAGAAAAACTTGGCCTTGTGCACTTCCAAAATATAGGTATCGACGAATTGAAGATCCGCGAATGTACATAAGTGTACAACACTAATATGCTGTTTGGTTTAAGAGAACTGATAACACAATTATTATTTAGACCGATAATTACAATATTCAGAGATCTAAATACAGTGTTGAATTAATAACCTATTAGAATAATTATATTTCAACGATATATAGATTTAACAGGAGCGTTTAGAATTTTACGGATTCAGCAAACATCATCACCGTAGAAATTAAGATGTCATATCCCGTTTAAATTAAGTCTTCTACGGCCAAACATCTAAAGCAAATATTTGTATCCATGGATGAATTTAGTCAAAGTTTAAAGTAATTAGTGGAAACGACATCCTTGACTCAATAATTTACCAGTTATACATCCATGATGTTCATTGAAATCCAAAACGTCACCACATACACGGGTAGAGCGATCGAGTTGTGATAAATAAACACTGTAAGATTGTAAGTCGGATAAGAGCTCTACAGAGCTCATGTTTACCTTGTTGAATTGTACATATCATGCCCGACTCTAAATACAATTTACTTACAACCTACTTATTTACTTGTACTAAAGGAACATTATAGTTAAAAAAAGGGTAATTTACAATAGGGAACAAAGAATTGCCCCTTTTGTCGTAAATGTACGTGCAGAATTTCCCGTGTAAAACTGAAATATCTAAATGTAGGAAAAGGACAGTTCTTACCACTTATAATTGATTTACTCAAATAAGTTCTTTTGGGTAAATTTCACCATTGATAAATTAACAAAAAATTACATCAAGTAGTGTAAAGAGTTGAAAAGAAAAAACTGTCAACCGAATAAAAAGGACCGTCACAAGTACGTAATTTCACCTTAGACATCCCAAACATGTGTAGAATATGTTTTATAAAAAAGGTAATAATAACAGTTAAGGAATCTTAAGCTCCGAAAGATTAGTTGTAAAACACCTACTATAGGCCGAGAGGAAAAGATATTTTACGTTTTATTTTTATGTAATTTAGGTAAATAGTACATAGTAAGGACATAAAAATGTGCAGAAGAGACCTCAAACTGAGACCTGGTTGTGATCTGATTGTTTATTATATGACTTTCTGGAGAGCGCACGGACCTGCATGTAGATGAATTTATATTTTCATTCTTAAGAACTTCCGTGTAGTATTTACGTCATACCATCACCACTTCGATGTCTGCTTTGTCAACCGGTACAAACACATATTTTTTGAGTACTTTAATTTTGTTTCTTATCCTAAAAACATACGTATTATGTACCCTTATACATTATTATTAAAACATGATATTCGAAAATCTACAATATTTATATATTTATTTAGATAAGGATCAAGATATTTATTTTTAGATTTTTCTCGTTCACACTAATTTTTACAATATGTTTATACGCAGTTTACAATCTATTTTAGACGGGGGTATAATTTGGTTTAAAAAAAAAAGTTTAACCCTCGTCTTGAACGGAATTGAGGTCCGCCGTTACATGGCCATAGGGATCTTATCTTAAAGTGACAATCTGTTGATACAACATTCTGCTGTTTTTATATGTACGAAATAATATTCTGTGTTATCAAAATAGGGTGGTATAAAGTTTTATATGGTAGAGTCATTGATTAAACTAGATACGTAGATAAAATCAATGCCTCTGTCAATATGATTAATTTTCAGAAAACACCGTTGCTGATCTTGAGGTTTATCTATACGCGGGAACAGTCTATTGTGACGACAAGCTGTAAATATACGAGTACATTTACCTTGAACAACGAGATTTTGTTGCACTCCTCGAAAATATTATATGATTTACATTATGTGACCAAGTTTAAGTAGTAGTTAATGCCTACCATTGTTTTCAAAATATAAACTGGAGATCTTCAAGTGTATACTTTATACGATGCTTAATTCGTTAATTTCTATTTGATATGTTTGCCCTGAGACCTATTATTACGCTGTCCCTTATCAACATTTATTAAAGTATATTTCAATTCCAAATGAAATTCAAAATCTATGACAGTACGTTCTATCCGTAACAACAGTATACCAATATATAGAAAAACAAAAGTATTTTAATATCATTAAAAACATCGTGCATCATGTTCAAAGATATTGCAATTTCGTGTCTAAAATTGTTAGATAAAGCAGGTCTCACTGAATCATCTTTTTTTAACTCTTATTTATATTCTGAAAACTAAGTTTCTTTATTGTGTGAATTGCATCAGTCGATTTAAGAAAGCATCATGTGTGAATAGTCTTGTCTCCCTCATGTAAATTTGCTTGTATGTCATAGAAGCAAGGGTTCAGATTCTTTCGAGTGAAGAATAAAAACAGCTGCCACAAATGTAAAATATACTATAAACCTTCACAAATCATTTCGCTTGCCATTCAAATCAGTTTGAATATTACTTTTTCATAAAATCTTAGGGAATATTGTTGTTTTGGAGGTTACAAATAGTAAACACAATATATAGTTGTGTCAACAGAACAATATATCATATTTCAGCATCCACCAACACATTGTATTCAGAAAAGGTAGATGATGGCATCTGGTTGTTTGACGTCCTTAACACTATTGGGGTGAATGATGAATATAGACAGGCGCGTCAAAAGCAAGGCATAATGGGTGAGATTCTTGAAACTTTTCCGGGCTGTGTTACCTGGTATAACATGGGAAGTACTATTGAAGGCACAGCTACACCAGGTACTACCTACATTAGAAATATAATCTAAGGCAATTTAGTATTTAAATGAAATTTTAAACTAGTATTGATATTGACAATTTCAACAATATTTACATGCTTTAAAATTCCCTCATCAAGACATATTGTACATTTTAACAAATAACATTTCGTTATGTGTACTATTGTATGCGTGTATTTTCTGCAATTAGATTTTTTAACATGTATTGCGGCTAACTGCTAAAAAAGGAAATACCAAACGACCCATCATTTGGAATACAGAGTCAAAATGAGCTACTGAACAATATATGAAAATTCTCGAGTGTTCCTAATATCTACATCTTTGTTTGAGTTTAAATAAACACTTTGCAAAATCAAATGAGGATATCATTAAAGTATTTAAAAGTCTGTGTTTTTTTGTTGTTTCCATTGCGTTCTTTATGTTTATCATATGGAGTATTAAGAATAAAGCATTTACTATATGTTTAAAATGAAAGTTTAGCTGTATGCCAAAATTACAGTCACCAAAAGACGCTATAATCACACACGTGTTGTATTTGCTTCAATTATTATTGTAAAACATTGAATGCGTAATATATTCAAGTCAAATTTTATCAATTAGCATAAAACACACCACAGAAATCAATAAACTTATATTAAAAGAAATATATTATAACAATTAAAAGGGATAAGAGGAATCATACAAATGCCACAACAATAAATTACAACTGACCCTAGATGCGTAGGCACAAAACAAAGGCAACTAAATACAATATATGGTCCAAATAGGCAAATTTCCCTAAAAATATTGTTGGGTTTACTATGTCTAAAGTGAACACAGTCACCCAAACTTCTGTCTATCTAAACCATTTGTTGATAAATTATTTTGTTCTTTTTTTGTACATAAATGAGACCGTAAGTTTTCTCGTTTGAATTGTTTTACATTTGTCATTTCGGGGCCTTTTATAGCTGACTATGCGGTATGGGCTTTGCTCATTGTTTAAGGCCGTACAGTGACCTATAATTTGTAATTTCTGTGTCATTTGTTCTTTGGGGAGAGTTGTCTCATTGGCAATCATACAATGTCTTCCTTTTTTATATATAGCACAAAATCATTTTGTTTATATTAATACAAATTCGAAGAAACATTTAACGTACTAAATTGCCAGTTATAAAGTATAGACACTAAATGATGAGATAAGAGGAAATTAACCGTTCAAAGAATAGAATGATTTTGATTGCAGAGTTTAAGTGTCTTTTTTGTTGTATATTTTAGCTGACTATTTGGCGAACAGCCATTTATAATTATACAGTCAAAAGATCCAAACACTCATACTTTGATAATGATGATCTTTTAGCTTATGTTGCATTCATCTTTTTACGCAATGAATTCATCAAATACAGTTTCCATGGCTATTTTCGAAATTATTTGTATCTCATAATTGTATAACAAAAAAGTAAAAATATCAGTCAATAGCTTTATCGGTTAAACAGTGCTCGAGAGCGTTTACAAAATCGTTTGTAGCATTTTGAGTTTCGTTTTTTGAAAACATGTATTTTCCGTTTATAACTTGTTCTGCATTCCGAAAGCTGTCGTTTAGCGATTTTATTTTGTATCGTTCATACTTTAACATGTTGAACTAGCATCAATGCGTCGGTTTGCCCCTGTCCGTGGCATAATTTCGTCATTGTTATTATGGGAAAACTTTACGTAACAGGGAAAGGACCGTATATCCAACATTATATAAATGATTCTTTAAATGTTGATTTTTTGTATATAAGGCAGATAATACAAGTGTGACTTTTAAACATTTTGTATGCAACAAATTGTCTTTTATTGTTATAATAATGACGTTATACTAGAAAATAATTCATGCTCTTTCTTTGTCATATAAGATATATGAATATGCTGTTGTTATATAAGAACTATTTATCTTTAATTATACATTTGACAACATAATAATTTTCACCATATGTTATACTGCACGTTCTATGAAAATATTTATGAGGTGAGTAAAATTAATCTGACGATAGATATTTGATAAATACATCCCTACCAAGTTTTTGAATGGTCATTGTGTAAATTTACCTATATTTTATGTAGACCATTGCGTTTTTTTTATTAATGTTTGAGATTTTTATAAATTTTGACTGCCTATGAAATGCTATATCACCGCATTCATAACTTTTCAGGTGCGCAAAGTGACAATGATGTCATCATATGTGACGAAAGTTTTCCTGTTATCGAAGACATATCCAATGCTATAAGAATTGATGGAGTTTTGTTTTCGTTATTAATTGTAAGAGAATTAGACACACCTGACGGATACGTAAAACTACAACTCGTAAATGAAGATATTGCGTACACCTGTAAACACTGGACTAACTTAAGTCGTGAATATAATATGAATTTATTCAAGATTGACAGAATGGGAAGAATAGTTTTATCTGAGTGTATGAGGAAAGCAGATCCAAGATTGTTAAAAAGAACCAAAAATAAGCCTGCTGATTTGACGATTGGCAAATTGTCTGATCTCAAAACAGATACCGTTTTATCTTATCGAAGCAAATTATGGCCAGTGATGGCAACGGAATGGCTTCATCGTCGTAGATTTTATGGATGGCCTACAAACGAAACGATTGTAGAGTTGAAGTCACTTGGATTCTTTGTTGTCAGAAAAGGTCACCCTTTTTCATCGGAAATAGATTTAGAATGGAGAATATCCCTTTCCTTGCAAGAACGAAATCTTATGTTCAATCTTACAGATGTCCAACACAAATGTTACGTTATCCTTAAAATGGTTAACCGAGACGTTATAAATTTTGACTGCATCACTACGTACCATTGGAAGACATGTTTATTTTATGCAATAGAAGAGAATACCTTAAATATTTGGAAAAAGAATCGTTTATGGTATTGCATAAAACTGTGTATCAGACTAATGTTAAAATGGGTAAAATGTGGTTTTTGTCCTAACTACTTTATTCCAGGAGAAAACCTTTTTGATGGAAGGTTAAATAGCAGTTGGCGATTAATATCAGAACAATATTTAGAGGAAATCTTAAATATCGGATGTTATTCTTTGCTTTTGGTAAGAAAAAACAATGTATGTGACTATGTCAGGTCACGGGGATCTCTAGAATGTTTTCAACGACTTCAAGCAAACAGTACAAAAGTCTTTCTGCAGGCATTATGTGTTGCAAGAATATCAATAATCTACGATGCCATTAAGATCTTTAATTACGAAATACTTGAAAATAATAGTTGGCGAGCCAATAATAACACATTTATTTTCATTAATTAGCTCTGGCTGACGCTTAACAGTATTCAGAAAACATGCGCAAGTATTAGTGCTGAACACACAGAACGAGAAAAAAGAAAATCTCTATCTTTACTGTTGCCAAATATCTATACATGTTTGGCTGGTAATATTTCTTCGATAGCCATTCAAAATCCGAATCCTAAAATACGAGATTTCCTTTTTCTTGGATCTTTCATATACTTTATGAAAGGTGGTTTACCAGGATATCTTAAGTTTGTATCAGTTCTTTACGCTGCTGAATTGTATAACGACTGTGAATGGTATATAAACAGTCATGACGAGGAGTACATCAACTATAATCCGTCTGTATGTATGTGTCGATGTGTTAAAATTGATCAAAAATTGACAGCTATGAATACTTTGTATACTTCCCCGCTACAGATGTCAACCTGTGTATCCTTTCTTCCGACAGAACTTCTAATTACCCCGGATGCCATGAAGTATGAAATGTTTAGGTATATCGGTATACCTTAAGCCGAAAACGAGAAAAACGACGTATATGGTCGTTGGAATTATAGGGCTATTACTGACAGCAACGTTTACTTTTTTCTGCTCAAGTATTTAATAAAAAGAAAACTCGGAAGGGTCCAAGAGTGTAAGAAAGCTATACGCAATATCAATAACTTGCTGCCAGGAACAAATTTGAGACATCGTGATGTAGCTTGTAATGTGTTGGCCTGGATTTTTTGTTCTGAGTTTAACACACCTGAAGCTCTTTTTTTTTTCAATATTATCATGGAAGATAACGCTTTCTACGGATTTATGTCTCATGTTAACAATAGACACAATGACACAAAAACAATACTTATACAATGCAGCAAAGATTCATGCGCTGATTATATTGTACAATACGTGGTTTGCAAATAGGCCTTCCAGCGTTAACTTCTGCTTTCAGTGTTTTTTTAGTTTCAAACAACTAAAAAGATGTAGCAGATGTAAACTATCAGCATATTGTTCAAAAGAATGTCAAATACAGAACTGGAAGATTCATAAAACAGCTTGTAAAATTGCAAGACAGTATCATAATGATTAAGCTCGCTTTAATAATCAACACCAGGTGACAAGTGTTATACCGTTAGGGTTTCATTGATAAATATTTCGTTATCTTATCCGGAATATGTTTATATATTCATTGATATTACAATATTCATTGATCACTTTTAAATATATTCATCAAAAACCAGATCTATGTGCATTTGCACATGCCAGTTTTGTTCAGGTAAAATTATTAATGTTATTTCATTTCAATTTTTTAAAACAATTTGTATACGTGTAACTACTATGTATATATGGTACCTGTTTCAAAAACAAAATCCTAATTAAACTTGTTAAATAAGTATATTTTCTAAAGTAAAATGTATGACATCTTCCTATGAAGATAACAGCTTACTTCAAAAAATATGTTGTTATGTATACATTTACGTGGAAATGATCACTTTAACATGAATCAATGTGTATATGAATAACTTTTTCTTGTAAATTAAAAAAAAACAGAATTTATAAGAGTGAGTTGTGTTTCAATAGTTATCAAAGGTACCAGGATTATAATTTAATACGCCAGACGCGCGTTTCGTCTACATAAGACTCATCAGTGACGCTCAGATCAAAATAGTTATAAAGCCAAACAAGTACAAAGTTGAAGAGCATTGAGGACCCAAAATTCCAAAAAGTTGTGCCAAATACGACTAAGGTAATCTATTCCTGGAATAAGAAAATGAAGTCGTCTATCATGTTACTGTAATAATCAATATACAAATAGCAGCTTCTTGAAAGGTGGTCAGCGTTTACCAAACTACACAGAAAGGACAACGTATATGTTTTGATATGACAGAAACCTACCGACAACCTTGAAAAAATTAAGCGCAAATGTACAACTTTCTCTATCGCTGTTTTTCATTTCACGTTAACAGTCAGGCCTTCAACACAAAAGATAACTGTAAGCCTCACAGCAAACTCCAAACAGCAAATTACGGTTTGATCGAAATTATTTTATTACTTTATTAAATGTCGTTACCGCGTCATTTGTTGATTAACGAACACACATGCGGGGTTGAAAAAACAAAAAAACATAGATATCAGGCGAAAAAAAGAAACAAGACAATAAAACAATAAAACAATAAAACAAACAAACATTTCCGGTGACCTGTAGTTGTAAATTTTTTGTGGAGTGTTGCAATCATACCACATCTTCTTATTTTTATAATTTTAATATTTAGACCATGACTTAAAAGATATGTCAATTCACTTGTACACATGTGGCTCGTACTTTAAAAGCTTCAAAAATTATATATTATATAGTTTTCAAAGGTCAAATAACTAGTCATTGAATATTTGTGCGTCGACATGCATTATCCGTTATGTGAATTTTAACTCAACCAAATTTGAGGAATAGAACAAAATTGTTAAATGAACTTTTCTGGACAGAAAACCAAAACCACTTAAATATCGCTGGTGAGTTGAGACGCAACACTTCTTATCAGTCATCAAATTTTTGATTGTGATCGTAGCACAAATAAAGTGTAGATTTCAATCGATCTTTTCTCTGTACGATCAGTTTTATGCGTCAGCAGTACTCTAATTTTGATACAGTTTTTATAGTACAAAGATTTGAAATAGACCAAACCACAAAAAAAACTAAACATTGTCCAATGAACCATGAAATATGGGTCAATGACAGATGAGACCTGCCAGTCGGATATGCACACCTTACAATCATACCATACACCAAATAGTTGACCAAAAGCTTGCAGCATCTGTCAAACTGGCTGCAAGTTTTGTTATCCTACCTTTATTTTTCGGGTTACAGAAATACACATGAAAGTTCAATACTAAATGTGTTTGAATTTTTCATACAAATGGGAGGTAATAAATCTTAAAAGAATAGTTAGTTTATGGGCGAAAACTTATCCAAAGATATCAGGCTTATATTAAGGTACTCCGACTACGTGTTTGGTCTACACAAGACCAGTGGTGCTCTAATTAAAACAGTTGAAAAGAATTGAAAAGGAAAATTAAAAAAAAGTGAACTGTCTCATGATATCTTTATCATTGAACGGTAATTAAATCGCAATTTTGAATCTCAGTGAATCATAATAAACATCAGCGCCGATTTGTCTTGATTAATTAAAAAACAAACAATGTAAGATAGAAAATTGGAAAGTCATATAGAATCCCTTTGAACAGATGATAGATGAAGAACTATTTATATCATTTTATAACAGTCTTAAATTTACAATAAAAATTGGTCCCTACTTAAATCTTAAGTACATATCTCTCAGTCAGACCTCTGACATGCATGTAAACTAGTCAGCATCATCTCACTTCCATTACTTCCATAGGTCAGAAATGAACAATGATTTTAATTAAATACATATAAACAAAATTAAATATAACACAAGCAACATTCAAACTATTTGTAATTTTCCCATACTGGGCACATATAAAATTTCAAAACCTAAATTGACTGCAGTGGGTTGAAAAAATATAATCTATTTGAATTAAGTTTTTGTCCTACATAAAACTGTTGATGTGATCCCTAACACTTATAACGGTTTTTTAAAAGTCCTACAAAATCATTGGAAAGCATGTTTTAAAAATTGTTCGATTCTTGTCTACTGTGTTTTACCTTTTTGATGTATTCATTTTGTTTAACAGCTATACATTGATTAGCTAGAACGGTTTAAACTATTTGGTTATTGAAACACTTCAGTCAAATCAATGTTTAATACGATAAATTATAGGAACCTTATATACTAAGTCAGCATTATCCTGACTAGCTGCATCTTACATAACCTACTTAAAATAACTTTTTTTTAGCCTCATCTAATGAAGGAATAATACTGCCGAACTGGCAATATCTGTATTTAAGATTCTGCCTATCCATGATGCTTCTAGTTATTCAAAGTGAGATTCAATGTCAATCATATTAAAATCCCCGTTTTCATAGCAACCAATCATCGTATTTCTTTTAACTTTATCTGGCTTGTCATTCCAGATAAATTCATTTATTTTAACTTTATCTGGCATGTCATTCCAGATAAATTTAAAACACTTTTTTCTATTTCTTTTTTCTAATTTTCTAGAAATATACATGAGCTAGCTAAAAAGGTAAAGAGTGGTATAATCAAAGATCTGGCTTGTCATTCCAGATAAATTTAAAACACTTTTTTTCTATTTCTTTTTTCTATTGTTCTGGCAATAAACATGAGCTAGCTAAAAGGTGGAGAGTGGTATAATCAAAGATTTGATGATCAAAATTTAACCTAACATAATGAGGTTTCGTTTTTTTTTTAAAGATTTAACAATTTATCCATTTTCCAAAATTTAATTTCTCACATTCTTCATTATCACGTCAAAAATAAATTCCTAAAGCTTTTACAGATTTATCTGTCCAATTAATATTTGATATTTTGTCTATCCGTTATGTGAATTTTAACTCAATCAAATTTGAGGAATAGAACAAAATTGTTAAATGAACTTTTCTGGACAGAAAACCAGAACCACTTAAATATCGCTGGTGAGTTGAGACGCAACACTTCTTATCAGTCATCAAATTTTTGATTGTGATCGTAGCACAAATAAAGTGTAGATTTCAATCGATCTTTTCTCTGTACGATCAGTTTTATGCGTCAGCAGTACTCTAATTTTGATACAGTTTTTATAGTACAAAGATTTGAAATAGACCAAACCACAAAAAAAAACTAAACATTGTCCAATGAACCATGAAATATGGGTCAATGTCAGATGAGACCTGCCAGTCGGATATGCACACCTTACAATCATACCATACACCAAATAGTTGACCAAAAGCTTGCAGCATCTGATATACTGATTTGAAAATAAAAACTTTGATCTCTGGTCAATGAAATGAGGTCAAGGTCAGGTCAACCCTGTCTGACAGGCACGTCGACCTTGAACATAATTCATATACCAAAATATAATTATTATATAATTCATAATACTGATAAAAGGAGAGTACGTCACATGACAAAACACTTTTTGTTCAAGCAGTGACTTAACCATAGAGATGAGGTCTAGGACAATAGACATTTGACAGATAAGCACTTCGTAAAATAGTACCTTGTACGAAACATCCATGTCTTCTATCATAAATAATAAATCTTCAAACAAATACTAAAAAAATGTAGTTTAAGCTGTGGACACCAACGTCGACGAGACATATATCATCTTTATACATATGTATATGTCTGCATGTTGTATGAAATTCATTTACAAAAAGAAAAGCAAGGTGTGACTCAAAGAAACTTCTAAAAAAAATTTAAAACATTAATCTGGTGGATATGTGTCTATTACAACACCAGTTCTTCTTATATTTGTAAAGGCATCAAGAATGAAACATATATTCCTACAAAATTAAAAGATATCAATACAATCTATAATGCCCCCGTAAAACGTAAACTGGTCTGTAAATATGACCAACAATATCACAGATCTGCATCACTGTGCTCGAAAGATATGACGTAAACTACTGGTTGATTTTTTTCTATCTCAATCATTGTTCCTCTTTTTGTCTCATCAATTAACTACCAGTAAGGGACAACTTTAAAAGATCGATATGGTATAAAAACAACGTAATTCCCATAGTTAAAGGGTAAATATAAATAGGGGTGTCAAACTGGCTGCAAGTTTTGTTATCCTACCTTTATTTTTCGGGTTACAGAAATACACATGAAAGTTCAATACTAAATGTGTTTGAATTTTTCATACAAATGGGAGGTAATAAATCTTAAAAGAATAGTTAGTTTATGGGCGAAAACTTATTCAAAGATATCAGGCTTATATTAAGGTACTCCGACTACGTGTTTGGTCTACACAAGACCAGTGGTGCTCTAATTAAAACAGTTGAAAAGAATTGAAAAGGAAAATTAAAAAAAAGTGAACTGTCTCATGATATCTTTATCATTGAACGGTAATTAAATCGCAATTTTGAATCTCAGTGAATCATAATAAATATCAGCGCCGATTTGTCTTGATTAATTAAAAAACAAACAATGTTAGATAGAAAATTGGAAAGTCATATAGAATCCCTTTGAACAGATGATAGATGAAGAACTATTTATATCATTTTATAACAGTCTTAAATTTACAATAAAAATTGGTCCCTACTTAAATCTTAAGTACATATCTCTCAGTCAGACCTCTGACATGCATGTAAACTAGTCAGCATCATCTCACTTCCATTACTTCCATAGGTCAGAAATGAACAATGATTTTAATTAAATACATATAAACAAAATTAAATATAACACAAGCAACATTCAAACTATTTGTAATTTTCCCATACTGGGCACATATAAAATTTCAAAACCTAAATTGACTGCAGTGGGTTGAAAAAATATAATCTATTTGAATTAAGTTTTTGTCCTACATAAAACTGTTGATGTGGTCCCTAACACTTATAACGGTTTTTTAAAAGTCCTACAAAATCATTGGAAAGCATGTTTTAAAAATTGTTCGATTCTTGTCTACTGTGT